AGTTGTACACAGTATGCGCGACGGCGAGTCAATAATTAACTCTAGACCACTTACCTATCTGTCGGAAAATCGGTGATTTAATCCCCTTTCCCCAGCCGTTTCTCATCGAGAATCGTAGCTTAGGTGTTCCTGATGTTATTTCTGCGATTCGAAGGGTCTCGAAAAAGGCTAGACAACGCAAAAAACGTTTAATGATTTAAGGCATAGATTTAGGAAAAATATTTAGCCTTCTGGTCCAAATAAGAAGGATCCATCGTCAGAGCTACGGTTGGGTGAAATTGTTCTAATAGGAGATGACATCAAAAAACGGATGCATTGGCCTTTAGCTAAGTCATTCGACTAATTCCTGGGAAAGATGGCAAGGTGAGAACTGTAGAACTAAAGACTCAAGCTGGTACGCTGCTTCGCCCATTCAGCGAGTCTTTCCATTGGAAGTGCAGTTAACGGACAAACCCACTGTTCCATAAACGATAACTCTTTTACTAATCCTATTTCATCTATTTCTAGGATGAACATTCAGATTTAATGACTCTTCAAATGACTCTAGTAACATCCTGCAAGATGCTAAAGTGTCAAGATTTGGACGTGTGATCAAGGTACCTCAGAAATTGGATCTCTTCGACCAGGTAATGTATGTCTTTGAGCCAACTTGAAGTCGACACAAAGAGGGGGAGAATGTTGGAGACGGCGGCTGCAGACAGACGATTACATAACGGCTCGGCGAAGGTCGACAGAAGGAGCGCCGCATCTGATTGGACTATTTTTTATTATTTTTTTTTTTTCTTTAACTGCGAACTAAGCGGGGAAATTCCCTTTTCACTCAGTTATATGTATGCACTTGATAGAGTAATGTAACGTTTTCAGCTTGTGTGAGATATCCATATTAAATCTTTATATTAATAATCCCTGCTGTGATTATTTAATTTGTAACCTGCACGTTGTAGCCCTGAGAGTTGCAACATAGTAAATTTGGCGTCCGCTACTTTATATTTTTGATAAAATATGGATATAAAAGTTTTGAAAGCAAAACGAAAGTCGCTGAGAACAGCTTTTACGGTATGCTGCAACGATATAGCTCAGAAGATCGAAAACAAAAGTTTAAAAAGTGACGAAGTCAGTACGATGTTTCGGCAGATTCAAGACAAATAAACACGTTTGGACACAACTCAAGAAGAAGTTTCGAATTTGTTGCTGAGTGATGATGCCCTTCAAGATGAATATTCTGAAGATTTTTTTGAAAGCAGAAGAATACCGTGACAAGTTCTGCTTGGTCTGTTCGCCGTTAGAAAATGCAAAGAAGGCAAATTCGGTTACAGAAGGAACAACAACCGAGCAAAAAAAGGAAATTCAAGCTTCCGAAACTTGAATTGAGGAAATTTAGTGGAGAACCGAAAGTCTTTCTTGCTTTTTGGTCCCAGTTTGAGAAAATTCACAACTACCTCTCCATTGTCGATGAAGATAAATTTCAATATCTTTTACAATGTGTGGTAGCAGATTCTAAAGCGACAAGACTCGTAACCAGTTTTCCGCCAACTAAAGAAAACTATTCAAAGGTGATCGCACAACTTAAAGAACGCTTCGGGAGAGATGAACTTTTGGTTCAGATTTATGTACGGGATCTACTTTCCATAGTAATGAAAAATGCTACTGATAGGATTAAAGTAGATTTAGCTGAACTTTATGATTTACTTCAGAGCAAGCTTATGGCACTGGACAGCCTCGGTAGAACTAAGGAAAAATTCGCAGAAGCAGAATTTTTAGAGCCACTTGTTGAGTCCTGTTTACCAGAGACTGTTCTTCGTGCGTGGGAAAAAGAAGCCGCTCGATGGAAGATACTGCGTCACAGCAAGATAGTGCGCGTTCGTTGAATAAACTTTTGTGCTTTCTTCGAAATGAAGTGCAAAGTGAGGAAATGATTAAGCTCGCTCGTACCGGGTTGGGAGCTTCACGTTCTGAACATTCGAGTCCACATGCTGATGTTCCAGGTTGCTCTACAGCTGCTGCCTTGGTAAATGTTCAAGACAATACAGGTAGGCGAAATTTACGTTGTATTTTTTGTGAGAAATTCCGCAATTCTGCCGAATGTTTTTCTGCTCGCAAAATGTCTTTAGACGATAAACGAAAACTTTTGGTGCAAAAGCTCGCCTGTTTTCGCTGCCTTCGAGTTGGACATAGTTCACGGGCATGCAAAAATAAAGTAAAATGTTTAACATGTGCTAGATTTCACTATACGATTATGTGCTCAAATGGCGAACCTGTAAAGCCAAATGAAACTGACAGTACTGTTATTTCCAGTAATGTGTTGTCTAATCAGTCAACTGTTAATGAAAATGTGTATTTGCAAACACTTGTTTTAAAAATAGTATTTGAGGGTAGACAACTTACAGTTCGTACGATTTGGACAGTGGTTCTCAGAAATCTTATCTTTCAGGAAAGGTTATCGCGTTTTTGCAACTGCGTCCTAAATCGAAACATACCATTATGCACGGTTTGTTTGGGGGGAGAGAGACAAGTCCTCATTCCCCTTTTGTGTTTGATGTTAATTTAAGAAATTTTGAGGGTACTTATGACCATAACTTTGAAGTACTTTCTCAAAACAGAATATGTGGATGTGTTCCAAAAGTAGTTGATTCCAGTACCCTAAAAGAATTAAAAGAAAGAAATATTACCTTGTCTGATTTGCAAGCTAAAGAATATGACATTGAATTGCTTTTAGGAGCAGATGCCATCGGGGACATTATTACTGGCAGTTCTCTGAAACTGAACTCTGGTGTCACTGTAGTTGAGACTAAATTCAGATACACTGTGATTGGTAAAGTAAACAGCTTATCTAAAGAATCTAGTTCAGCTACTATTCCAGCATTACTACAAAATAATTTGTGCAATAATGTAGTTTCGTTGTATTGTGCTAATCTTAGCGTAACTGAACTCTGGAATTTAGATGCCATTGGCATAACAGATCCAACTGAAGATGTTAAACGTAAACTTGCTCACTCTGACACCGTTAAGCAATTTAAAGATAATTTAAATGTTCTTCCTGATGCCCGATATGAATTGCCACTACCCTTTAAATCTGAAATTCTGTTACCTAACAATAAGTCTATTACTTTTAAAAGGCATCAAAGAATGTGTCAACGAATTAATGAGGGAAATCAGTTAGATGGCTATAAGGTAGTTTTTAAGCAATGGGAGGACCTAAAAATAATAGAAAAGGTTCCTGAAACTGAAATTGATAATTTGAGTTATTATTTGCCTCATAGACCTGTTATAAAGCATACTAGCCAGACAATGAAGGTAAGACCGGTGTTCGACGCTTCAGCCCGAGAGAAAATCAACCGTCCCTAAATGATTGTTTAAATAGAGGGCCGAACTTAATTGAACTCATACCTGATATAATTGAGAGGTTTAGATTGTATTCTGTTGGTTTATCATCGGACATAGAAAAAGCATTTCTTCAGCTGAGTATTATCCCAGAACATAGAGATTATTTGAGGTTTTTTTCTTCCAACTCTTGAAGAACCTATGATTTACAGACACTGCAGAGTGGTGTTCGGCGTTTGTTCGTCTCCGTTCCAACTCTCTGCATCGATAAGCATCTCTTGGATAATTCCCCTGCTGAGTTTGACGATGTGATCCAAAAATTAAAGCATTCGTTTTATGTTGACAATTGTGTCACTGGGGTTCACGATATCAAACAGCAAGAAAATTTTGTAGTTAAGGCTACAGAAGTAATGGCTCAGGGATGTTTTAACCTACGGATTTGGGAAAGTAATGTTCCAGGTCATTGTATTTCCCATAGTTCAGGTATAACTTCTCTTCTTGGAATCTTATGGGATTTGGATAACGATACATTAAAATGTAATCTTAATTATTCAATGGATAATGAGATAAGTAAACGTAATATTTTGGCTATAGTACATAAAAGGTTTTGATTCGCAGGGTTTTTTGAGTCCAACTACCTTGTTACCTAAGTTACTATTACAGGAGGCTTGGACTATGAAATTAAAATGGGATGACCCCTTGCCAGAAAACATTCAGAAAACTTTTCAGAAGTGGCGGGATGAAATTAAATATCTTGAGAAAATTAGTATTCCACGATATGTAGAGATAAATGAGAATTCAGAGCTGCATCTATTAGTTGATGCATGTAAGAGCTCCTATAGTGCATGTGTTTACTTTAGAACTGTAACGCCCGTGGGAGTCAAAATTCGATTGATCAGAGCCAAATCCAGGGTAGCGCCGTTAAAATCTCTGACAATCCCCGGTTAGAATTGATGGCCTGTTGCATTGGCGCGAGACTGGTTCACTCAGTATACGCCGCCTTAGATTTGCCTGATTTGAAAATTATTGCATGGAGTGATTCTATGGTAGCACTCTGGTGTATTAAGAAAAGTGGTGATTGGTCAGTTTTCGTTGCGAATAGGGTAAAAGAGATAAACAGTCTGATTCCTTCTCAGTGTTGGCGCCATCTACCAGGTGATTTAAACATGGCAGATATGCTTTCAAGAGGCTGGTGGGAGAGGTTAGTTAGTTCGTGTAGTAAAGGAACTGTTAAGAAGGACACTCGGTAACGCGGTTCTTACAACCAAGGAGTTGTACACAGTATTGCGCGACGGCGAGTCAATAATTAACTCTAGACCACTTACCTATCTGTCGGAAAATCCGGATGATTTAATCCCACTTTCCCCAGCCATGTTTCTCATCGAGAATCGTAGCTTAGGTGTTCCTGATGTTGATTTCTGCGATTCGAAGGGTCTTCGAAAAAGGGCTAGACAACGCAAAAAACTGTTTAATGATTTAAGGCATAGATTTAGGAAAGAATATTTAGGCCTTCTGGTCCAAAATAAGAAGGATCCATCGTCAGAGCTACGGTTGGGTGAAATTGTTCTAATAGGAGATGACATCAAAAAACGGATGCATTGGCCTTTAGCTAAGGTCATTCGACTAATTCCTGGGAAAGATGGCAAGGTGAGAACTGTAGAACTAAAGACTCAAGCTGGTACGCTGCTTCGTCCCATTCAGCGAGTCTTTCCATTGGAAGTGCAGTTAACGGACAAACCCACTGTTCCCATAAACGATAACTCTTTTACTAATCCTATTTCATCTATTTCTAGTGATGAACATTCAGATTCTAATGACTCTTCAAATGACTCTAGTAACATCCTGCAAGATGCTAAAGTGTCAAGATTTGGACGTGTGATCAAGGTACCTCAGAAATTGGATCTCTTCGACCAGGTAATGTATGTCTTTGAGCCAACTTGAAGTCGACACAAAGAGGGGGAGAATGAGATGTTGGAGACGGCTGCTGCAGACAGAGGATTACATAACGTTTCGGCGAAGGTCAACAGAAGGAGCGCCGCATCTGATTGGACTATTTTTATTATTCTTTTTTTTCCCTTTAATTGCGAACTAAGCGGGGAAATTCCCTTTTCACTCAGTTATATGTATGCACTTAATAGAGTAATGTAACGTTTTCAGCTTGTGTGAGATATCCATATTAAATCTTTATTTTAATAATCCCTGCTGTGATTATTTAATTTGTAACCTACACGTTGTAGCCCTGTGAGTTGCAACATAGTAAATTTGGCGTCCGCTACTTTATATTTTTGATTAAATATTTATATAAAAGTTTTGAAAGCAAAACGAAAGTCGCTGAGAACAGCTTTTACGGTATGCTGCAACGATATAGCTCAGAAGATCGAAAACAAAAGTTTAAAAAGTGACGAAGTCAGTACGATGTTTCGGCAGATTCAAGACAAATAAACACGTTTGGACACAACTCAAGAAGAAGTTTCGAATTTGTTGCTGAGTGATGATGCCCTTCAAGATGAATATTCTGAAGATTTTTTGAAAGCAGAAGAATACCGTGACAAGTTCTGCTTGGTCTGTTCGCCGTTAGAAAATGCAAAGAAGGCAAATTCGGTTACAGAAGGAACAACAACCGAGCAAAAAAGGAAATTCAAGCTTCCGAAACTTGAATTGAGGAAATTTAGTGGAGAACCGAAAGTCTTTCTTGCTTTTTGGTCCCAGTTTGAGAAAATTCACAACTACCTCTCCATTGTCGATGAAGATAAATTTCAATATCTTTTACAATGTGTGGTAGCAGATTCTAAAGCGACAAGACTCGTAACCAGTTTTCCGCCAACTAAAGAAAACTATTCAAAGGTGATCGCACAACTTAAAGAACGCTTCGGGAGAGATGAACTTTTGGTTCAGATTTATGTACGGGATCTACTTTCCATAGTAATGAAAAATGCTACTGATAGGATTAAAGTAGATTTAGCTGAACTTTATGATTTACTTCAGAGCAAGCTTATGGCACTGGACAGCCTCGGTAGAACTAAGGAAAAATTCGCAGAATTTTTAGAGCCACTTGTTGAGTCCTGTTTACCAGAGACTGTTCTTCGTGCGTGGGAAAGAAGCCGCTCGATGGAAGATACTGCGTCACAGCAAGATAGTGCGCGTTCGTTGAATAAACTTTTGTGCTTTCTTCGAAATGAAGTGCAAAGTGAGGAAATGATTAAGCTCGCTCGTACCGGGTTGGGAGCTTCACGTTCTGAACATTCGAGTCCACATGCTGATGTTCCAGGTTGCTCTACAGCTGCTGCCTTGGTAAATGTTCAAGACAATACAGGTAGGCGAAATTTACGTTGTATTTTTTGTGAGAAATTCCGCAATTCTGCCGAATGTTTTTCTGCTCGCAAAATGTCTTTAGACGATAAACGAAAACTTTTGGTGCAAAAGCTCGCCTGTTTTCGCTGCCTTCGAGTTGGACATAGTTCACGGGCATGCAAAAATAAAGTAAAATGTTTAACATGTGCTAGATTTCACTATACGATTATGTGCTCAAATGGCGAACCTGTAAAGC